CTTTTCCTACTTTTTCCTTCAAACCAAACACAACCTTAGTGTTTAATTTTTTTTAGATTGATCCAGGTTTTCCTAAACCTTGAGAATGGGTAAATTAGTAATTACATATTAATTTATTTTTACTAAAAACCAAAGAGAAACCGTCTCAACAGCCTATGCTGTTGGGCCCCAACAACCAAAGTTAATTCGGGTTTAGGGCGGGGATCATATTTCCCATCTCCAATCCTAATCCTGAAATTAACCCCATTCTTGTCAGGATAAAATTTGTCCTCCTTCCCCAAAATTTTTTAGATAAATGTATTTTCTTTCGAAAATAAATAAAAGGTTAAACTATAAATACTGTTTTAAATATATTTTGATATATATTATGAATAATATATATTTAATATACATAACATTTAATATATGTATATATATTTATTTCTGGTATTAGTTTTTTTTCACATCAAAATTTTCATCCACATTAGACCTCTTCATGGGTCAGGTTCAGGCCGGGCTTTGTATATGTGTCAATAGCATACACTCAGGCCCGAGCCTGAGCCCGACCCTCATATAAAGCCCGAAACTCGTGCCTGAGCCCAAGTCGGACCAGAAATTTGAAAATAGAAATTTTTTCCTTTTTTATTCAATAAAAAGTGTTTTATTTATATTAAAAACCTTTAAAACTTAAAAATAATAAACATCACACTATTACTTAGAAAAAAAGAGAAAATAATAAAAAATATTGTATATATAATTTTTATTAAATAAAATAGATTTTATTATTTAATATATATTATCAAGTTGGGCTTGGGTTTTTTGAGAAAGCCCGAGCCCAGCCCGAAAAAAGTCGGGCCCGGTACTTGTTAGACAGTGTATGTCCTTAGCTCCAATCAGCATGATGTACATTATGGCATTTATTGTAAATGGATAAAGTACATATTTGATTCATGTTATTATGGTGTATTTTTGTATAATACCCTTAAACTAGACACATATGAGACTCGTGCTAGTTTAGAATCTTCATAGCTGTTGGATGGATTTAGAGAGATTTATCCTCCCAAGGTTGACACTGATGTACTGCCTAGTTGGTTGGGATGGCTTGTCTCAGCTACCAGGGTGAAACCTGAGGTACATGCAGTGTGGGTTTTCTCAAAACCCTGAACCGGACCAAAATTCTAGTATTGCCCTGGACCTTGGAGATTGATGGGCAAAACTGGAATGTTACAGCTGACCCCTAGACTCGATTATGATATTGCACTAGGAATCGGATTGGGTTGTCTTTGATATGCCAATCAGTGAGATCTTTAGAGGGGGTCAAAACCTAGGTATGTTGGGATAGTTCGAGAAATCATCTGAATGGGTGATCATAGTGATATGATCAGTCCCTTTGTCGAACAAAGTGAATGATCAGGAAAGTGCACTCTCTGATAGAAACCTAAACTGTCGGTAGTGGATTTCAAATGTGTTTGAAATTTGGTTTTGAAAAATATATTTATATAGAGATATACTTATATATATTATGGTTTCAAAAATGTTTGCAAAAGGTTTTAATTCCCGGGATCAATGTGGGTAGAGAGTGTAGCATTGCACCTTGCAGCCGAAGGAGAGGTGCTCTATTGTCGGGCAGTGTTTGATCATTATGGGCTGAGAGGTTAAGTGTAAGACCATTGAGGGTTATACCTGATGGGATAATCTTGCATCTGACCACAATCCTTGGGCCTTTATAAGATGGCTGGACCCAATGACCATTTAGTGTAAATGTTGGGCCCATTGAGAGCCCATAGTGATGGACTCAGGGGTTCACTGTATTCAATAGTGAATTCAGCCAGGCCTTGTAATAGAGGCTAGGCTGAACCCATGTGGCTGATGTGTAGATCAATGATAGGGTCCCACGCCACACAAAGAGAGCCAAGCTAGCCAACATTAAAAAGGAAGTGAGCCTGAAAGCTGAATGGGCCTAAAGCTCATTTCAAATTGGGTTAATTAGATTAATTAAATAGGGGCGGATCTTGGATTTGAATCAACAAATAAGGATAAAGGATTATTCTTATCACTTAAAGAGTCCAGATCCAAATAAAGATTTGGATCAAGGAACTCCTAATTTGATTAGGAAGGCTGATCTTTATCTGTAGATAAGATAAGGGATTATCCTTATCAATTAAAGAGTCCAGGTCCAAATAAAGAGTTGGATCAGGAAACTCCTAATGAGATTAGGAAGTTGTCTCTTTAAGGCTATAAATAAGAGAGCAGGGCGGACTTGAAAAAGGCACTCACTCAATACAGAGAGAAGACAACTCAGTTAGACTGATCTTGTCTTCAGTTCTTTTTCTTCCTGCTCTTGTTGCCCTACCCTGTTCGATCTCTAGTTCTTGGATTTGATCAAGATTTGATCTTGATATTGTTTCTTGTTAGAAGAAACAATTTAAAAGCTGGGCTCACTATCCCATTCGATTCTTGTTGACGAATCACAAGTTCTTGGTGAAGAACTACTTGCTGATCTTGCGTCATCCTAAGCTGTGTCATCTTCAATTTAGGGAGGATTTGGTACACTCTTTGGGCGTGAACACCTACGTTGGGAGGAGCATTCTTGTGTGGATTTCATATCAGGTATATCCCTCCCTACTCTTTGTTTCAGATTTGGTCCAGTTAGGTTACAAAAACAAACCTTGAAAATGCAATTTTTTAAATTGGGAATAGGATTCCCGGATGGGAGTAAAGAAATTTTTGAAATTTTGCCCAACCTTCATGTAGGGTTTGGCCATCCATATGATGGATCTCCCATCCCTTTCAGTACTTTAGCTGAAACCTTGATCCAGGTTTTCCTAAACCTTGAGCTGGTACAAAAGGATCGAATGACCTCATTACAAAAGATTTGAACCCACTATAGAGCTTTAGACATCTATTAAAAAAAAGAAAAATAAAGAGTTTTAGGCTATTTGGTCGATCATGGAAGGTAAAAAAGAAACCCCAAATGAATTTCTCTCCCTTTTTCTTGGTACAAACGAGAGTGTAATAGCATACTGACTAGAAAAAGAATGTTCCATCCATGAAAGTGGATTTAGAATAGCTAAATCATGCACCCCAAACGTGAAAAATTCCAATCCAATGGTGATACCTGAGAACATGCCCCCACCCCACCTAATCTAGGCGAGGCAAGGGGAATTAACTTTGGCTGTTGGGGCCAATAGCCTATGCTGTTGAGAGTGTTTATGGGCCGAACACTTTCACTAATTCACGTTCATGCCTATGTTTATGGTCAAAAGGAAATATGGGGCAATTACTATTTTATCCCACTCTCATGGTAAGTTGGTAACGTGGCATTCCCAAAAATTTACTTAACAGCATAGATTGTTAACCCCCAATAGCCAAAGTTTATTCAAGCAAGGGAGAGCCACTTAGTTCACGTTAACACCCCACGTGTAGGGGTGATCACAGTTTGGTTACCAAACCATGGTGTAATTTTTTGGGCCGAACCGATACAACTGGTTAACCGGTGGACCAGTTAACCGCAGTTCGATTTTTTAGTTTTTTTATGCCCTTAAAATTAAAAAAAGAAAAGAAATGCTGAGAGACGAATTGGTTGGAGGGCGGAGCACCAAAGGCTAGAGAGAGAGAGAGTTCAAAGAGAAAATGAGAGGTGAGAGAGAGTTTAGAGAGAGACTGAGAGGCAAGAGAGAGAGAGAGTTCAAAGTGATTGAGAGGTGAGGAAGAGAGACTTCAGAGTGACTAAGAGGTGCGGAAGAGAGAGTGAGAGTCCGAGAGAGAGGGAAAGAAAAAGACTGTCGAATAGATGAACTTGTCTCAGAGAGACTGAAAGGCCAACGGGTGTTAGTCTGTCAAATGACTCAGATTGGCAGCTAGTGGGTGCCAGACTGGCGAATTGTCGAACATTTTTATTTGATTTTTTTAAAAAATAAATATAACATATATATATATATAATATTATATAAAAATTTATATCGATTGGTTCGGTTAACCGCCGGTTTTTTTAAATGGTTAACCGAAACCGAATCGACTTTTTGGAAACATCAACCAAAACCGAACCGACTGATTTGGTTAACTGATTTTTTAGTTCGGTTTTGATCGGTTTTTTCTGGTCGATTCGATTTTTTGGTTTTTTTTTGCTCACCCCTACCCACATGCACATCTCAACCTACAATGAAAACATTTTCCATATTCGTCATTGGAAGATGTGTTACTCCAAACTCAACCCCTGGCAAAAAATCATTGAATCGATTATTCCGTTAATCCAAACAGTAAAACCGTCAATCCATTCAATGATTTTAACCATTTTTTTATTTTAATTTTTTTGTCAAAATTAATTATTAATTTAAACCGAACGATCAAACCATTAATCCAAAAGTCACTGGCCAGAATGGTTCCCGTTCTGAATCGCTTTTTAAAACATTGCTATGACCATATGGGATACACAAATGAATAATTAACATCTTGGATTTGTGGGAATTAATTACTTTGCCACTTGCCAAACAAAGTTGTGAGTTTACATCAATCCTTCACATGCATGGTAGATTCCACTCTTAAAATGACCCCCAATTTGATAGTGAAAATAAATGTGTGGGACACTTTTACACAATTGAATAATTAAATAGCGTGCTACTCCCCAAATTCTACCATTAATTCGATCATACTTATCACGTATGACTAGTGGCTTGACAAGTGATTGTAGCTCGGTCATGTGATTACTTGTCATCCGTCTTTCCTAAAATTTGAAAGAACTTTGGAAAAGACTGACTAATTGCTTTGCCGGACAAACCGATCACAGTAAAGAATCCCCAAATTCTACAATTAATTCGATCATACGTATCACGTATGACTAGTGGCTTGACAAGTGATTGTAGCTCGGCCATGTGATTACCTGTCATCTGTCTTGCCAATGGAGTTATCAATCCTTAAAAACTTGAAAGACCAAATGAAAATTCTTGCCAAACTCTTGAGGTTGGTTTGTGCCTTTAAATTTGAACAATTCATCTCTCCAGCTCCAAGTTTTACGAGAGAGAGAGAGAAACATGGGTGGTGCAGTTGCAGACGTAGATACCCTTCACATAGCCATGTACCCGTGGTACGCCATGGGCCACCTCACACCCTTCCTTCACATCTCCAACAAGCTTGCCGAGAGAGGCCACAGAGTCTCCTTCTTTCTGCCCACCAAAACCCAGTCCAAATTGAACTCCAACAACCTCCACCCCAATCTCATCACTTTCATTCCGGTCGTCGTTCCCCATGTCGACGGCCTCCCCCCCGGCGCCGAGACCACCGCCGACGTCCCTCACTCTTTGCATAGCCTCATCATGACCGCCATGGACCTCACGCAGCCCGAAATCGAAGCATCTCTCCGTCAGCTCAAGCCTCACATCGTTTTCTTCGATTTTGCCTACTGGGTACCAGCTTTAGCTCGTAGCCTCGGCATCAAATCCATCCATTACTGCATCATTAGCCCTGTAACCATCGGATACCTACTATCCCCTTCTCGGAATAATATTTCCGACGTCGACTTATATGAATCCAGCTTGATGCACCCACCGCCAGGCTTCCCAGCTGCAGCCATTAAACTCCATAGTAACGAAGCTAGACGTTTGGCTTTGGTAGCAAACATTGAATACGGAAAGGGTATCACATTCTACGAGCGCCAAAATATTGCTTTAAGCGACTGTGACGCCCTCGCCTTCAGGGCCTGTAGAGAGATAGAGGGCTCCTACTGCGATTACCTCGAGACCCAATTCCGAAAGCCAGTGCTGGTGTCCGGATCAGTCGTGCCAGTGGCGCCCAGAGATGGGCTGGAGGAACGATGGGTCAAGTGGCTGGGTGGGTTCGAGGCAAACTCTGTTGTGTACTGCGCTTTCGGAAGCGAATGCATCTTGAGTCTCGATCAGTTCCGGGAGCTGGTAATGGGTCTTGAGCTCACTGGGTTGCCGTTTCTTGCAGCTCTAAAACTACCCATTGGGACTGATACGATTGAAGCTGCATTGCCGGAAGGGTTCGAAGAGAGAGTCGGAGGAAGAGGAGTTGTTCATGGGCAGTGGGTGCAGCAGCAGCTGATCCTGGAGCATCCGTCGGTGGGTTGCTTCGTGACACACTGCGGCTCTGGTTCTCTGATGGAGTCCTTGGTGAACAAGTGTCAGGTGGTGCTGTTGCCGCACATCGGGGACCAGATACTGAATGCGAGGATGATGGGCGGAGATCTGAAGGTCGGGGTGGAGGTTGAGAAAGGAGGAGACGGGCTGTTCACGAGGGAGAGCGTGTGCAAGGCGGTGAAGATGGTGATGGATGAAGACAGTGAGATTGGAAGAGAGGTGAAAGCTAACCATAAGAAGTGGAGAGATTTCTTCCTTACAGAAGGGATTGAGTCGTCCTACATTCAGAACTTCGTTCATGGCCTGCAAGATCTGGTGCAGTCATCTGGATCTCCTCAGTTGAACTCCAACGTCAATGAATAGGAAATCAAATTAAGGATGGGACAGAATTTTTTTCTGTCCGAAGGAATAAGAATCAAACACGTCCCGATGCCAGCACTTAAGGATTCTATCTCTCTCTCTCTCTCTCCCTTCTTCCTCCCCTCTCATATCTACTTCCACCCTTCTCTTATGAATAAAGATAAACGTTTGTTGGGGTTTTTGGTGAATTCTAGATAAAATATGGTTGTGTATGTCTTAATTTTGATATTAGTTGGGATTGTAATAGAGCTACTCATTAAATAGCTCCTCTAATGGTGAAAATCTTTCACTCTATATCAGTACCTTCTGTTGCTTAATGGTTTTCGTTTGTTCATAAATAATAAAAAAAAACTTTGACCAAGATTGAGTTGTGCTGATTTTGCAGTTTTCAACCCGGCTGTTTGGCTATAAAGATGGATTTTTAGCGGCAGTCGATTAAAACTGCCGCTAAAATTCACGCCTCTCCCGTTGAAAATATTCACGCCTCTCCCGCCCTCTCTCTCTCTCTCTCTCAATCATCCCTCTCTCGCTTTGTCTCTCACTCAGTCGTCTCTCTTCATCCCTCTCTCTCACTCGGTCGTCTTTCTATTTCTCTCCCTCACTCATCTCTCTCTCTCTCTTGCACTCGTTCTCTCTCTACCTCTTTCTCTCTCACACACGATTGGACATCAGCGATTCTCTCTATTTCTCACGGTCTCTCTCCTAGATACATCCGCAGCATTTGATTCACAGGTAATTCCTATATATGCTATCTTTTGGGAGAATCACGAAATCAATCAAACTCTAACCAAGTTCTAAAAACAGCGGAAATAATATTTTTCTCCCTTGTGAATTTATGAGGAAACAATTTAGTAGAGTTTAAAACAAAAAACAAGCATAGAAAGGCATAACCAAATTTATGTGGAAAAACCTTTCCGGTGTGGGAAGATAAAAAACCACGGTCACCAAAAACTTCTACTATCAAGAAAATAATTGTAGAAGGGGTCTCTCTAGATAAAACTAGAAGCATACAATCAGCAAATCATCAAGAAAATGCATTCCTTGGAAACTAACAAATATCTCAAGATAATTGAGAAATCTCACCCAAAACAGAGGTACTATTCACGGATTCAGATCTCACAAACCAGTGAGCTAAACCAGATCTTCACTGTTCAGATTGAAGAACCTTAAGTCGCGAACATTCCTGCAAAATTTCAGCTCAATCAAACCACAAACGACCTTCAATCGAAGCACAAGATGAAAACTGTGCAGGCGGGAATTTGAAAAGTTTGCTCATTTTCTCTCTCTGTTTTTATACGGGATTCTCTTCCTTTTTTTTTTACTTCCAATCTTCCAGCAAACAACACCACTAAAAGGTTATTTCCTTTGACTATTTTCATTTGGACAAAAATACCATCATCCATGGGCTCAAAAATACCACATGGGCTTCTTGGGCCATCCTCCACACAAGAGGGAAACCCAACAAATCTCCCTCTTTCCCGACTAGGTGGAGGGATTCGCCATTCCGGCGATCAAGCGACAAACCTCAACTTTTTCTCTTGGTAATGATTTTTTTAACATATCAGAGCCATTATCATCTGTGTGAATTTTCTCAAGTTCAAGTAATTTGTTGTTTAGAGTATCTCTTATCCAATAATACCTCACATCGATATGCTTTGACCTGGAATGAAATGCTGAGTTCTTAACCAAGTGAATAGTACTCTGATTATCACAAAACAGGACATACTTCTGTTGCTTGAAACCAAACTCTCTCACAAACTACTTCATCCATAACAATTCTTTACGAGCTTCTGTTGCTGCAATAAACTCTACCTCTGTTGTAGAAAGAGCAATACACTTCTGCAACCTTGACTGCCACAAAACAGCTCCACCAGAGAACGTAATCAGATAACCTGAAGTAAACTTACGAGAATCCTCATCTCCTGCCATATTTGAATATGTGTATCCAACTAACAATGGTTTACCACTGCCAAAACTAAGTGTTAAATTGGAAGTACCTCAAAGATATCTCATTATCCACTTTACTGCATCCCAATGCTTTCTTCCTGGGTTCGAAAGGAAACGACTAACAACTCCAACTGCATGAACTATGTCTGACCTTGTATATACCATTGCATACATCAAACTTTTTACTGCTGAGGCATATGGAACATTTTCCATATCTTCCTTCTCTTTATCTGTTGAAGGGCCTTGATTTGATCTTAACTTAAAGTAGTTAGATAAAGGAGAAGAAACCACTTTAGCTTTATCCATATGGAACCTTTCAAGTACCTTGTTAATGTATCATTTCTGTGACATGTACAACTTCTTCTTTTTCCTGTCTCGATAAATTCGAATGCCAAGAATTTGTTTTGTTGGTCACAAGTCCTTCATGGCAAAGGACTTACTTAGTTGCTTCTTCAGATTTTCAATCCTTAAAGAATTTTCTGCCAACAATCAACATGTCATCAACGTAAAGTAATAAGATAAAATCATCATCAAAGAAGTTCTACACAAAAACACTGATCAGAAGTAATCTTCTTATAGCCATACTCCCCCCATAACTGACTCAAACCTCTTATACCATTGTCTGGGTGCTTGCTTCAAACCGTAAAGGCTTTTCTTCAACCGACAAACATAACCCTCTTTTCCTTTCACCTCGAAACCTTCTGCTTGTTTCATATAGATCTCTTCCTCAAATTCATCATGAAGAAAATCAATTTTCACCTCCATCTGCTCAATCTCTAAATCTACGCTAGCTGCTAAGCCTAAAACAACACGTATGGAAGACATTTTAAGAAATGAGAGGGAGTTGGCTGTTGTCTGAGAAATAGAGAAAGGAAGGAATAAAAAAGGAAAGAAAGAAAAGGAAGGAAGAAAGAAGAAGGGATAATGCTCACTGACAACGGCGAAAAATGATGGAAGGGACAACAACAATCTAAGATCTCTCTCTCTCTTTGAGATCTCATCTCAATCCCTCCCCCTTTCTCTCTTTTTCATCTTTTTCTCTTTAATCCTCCCAGAAAATAAAATCATTAAACCGTGAACCGCTATCCGGGTCAAACGGTTCAACAGTTCAACCATCAAGATCAGCAATTCTATAACCATTTCAACATTTTTTTTTTCAAAAAAGAGGTTTAGGCTAAAACCGGACCCAGAGATATGACCGGTTCCTGCATCAAACATCCAATCATCCAGTCCAGTCCAATTTTCAAAACAATACTATTGGCCTGTTTACCAAAACTGTACGGACAAGTGCCAGAAACAACGGATTCACAAAGCTTATGTTCCTTTCTTAACCTCAGACATTTTTTCCTACAATTTGATCACTTTTTATCTGATTTCTGCCCAAAAAAGTATCACAAAGTATTGGATTTTGAATCCACAGAAACGCTAAATAATTAAATTTATTAAAAAAGGCCATATTCAATCGTTAATACTTAATACCCTTCCGGGAGATGGCCTGGTTAAAACTTTGAACCTGCAAATTCAGAACCATAACCATGACATCACTCATTTCAATTGTGCGATAGCGTATTGATACTAGGAAGTTTGAACATGCTCCCGCTTAAGATTTTACAATTGCACCAAATAATAGCCCCTACTGAAGCTGCCGTCTCCCTTTTTAATTTTTCCTATTATCAAAATCATCTCAGTGAAAGACTGGTGAGTGCAGAAATCAGTGGCGATGACTAAAGAGGAAAACATAGAAAATTACACGATGGAAAGAGAGAGAGAGAGAGAGAGAGAGAGTAGTAAAAGAATATTTTGTGCAACAAATGGTAAAAGAATAAATATTTACTATCATTAACAAATTTTACAAAGACCCTGATCCAAGCAGGCACAAGGCCAAACTCCAAACTCACCCCTTCCAACCCTCTTCTTTGGGCCCTTGCCCTCAAACTTTCACGGGAAATGGAGATCGAGCGCTTGCCAACAAGAAAAGCAATGGCAGCAGAAGAAATTGTGCCCATTCATCTGCAGCTTTAATTGGTGAGCTGGAGCTCCTTGGCTATCTAATGTAAAGTTCAACAAAGCTTATTTTAACTGTCTTTGCTTCTGAGAAATTTCCAATTGGGGAGGCAAGAGGTTCAAAAAGCTCCCTTTAACAGGTTGTTGACTAGTTTCTGATTCATCATCTGCAACATGAGCAAACAGTATTAGAGATCGATGAGAAACTTTGAACATAAAACCTTCAAAACCAACCATTAGTTTCCTCAGAATCACAATGACGAAAATGATGAAATATCACACTACAACAGTCAATCACAATATACTAGGATGCAAACGTCAAGCTCAGCAGAACAAAATAGGAGGCACCAACGCCTGATTGCTAATCACCTGTAAGCTCTGTGCTTTCAATACTAGAGAATAAAGATGCCACATAATTTTCCCTATTAAAAGAATGCATCTAGAAATATTTCTCTCATTAATTGACAGGAATGGTACAGCATCAGAACTAGTTTTAACCATCATACGTGGATATATCCACATAACATAGGGGAACTAACCGGTGGGGGGGAGGGTGGTTGAACTTTTTCATTCCGAAATTAAAATTTCAGCATTAATATAATTGAAAAGTTATGATTCCCAGATACATGTGCATGCTAAACAAACCTGTGTGAACATGATATGATATACTGAGACCAGGTACAACAAGGACCACTCTAAAGTACATTTTAAAGCAAGATACTAGTAAAACATATAGTTGGTATATTTTAAAGAAACCAATTATAGTTGCTAAAAGTTTTGCTAAACTTGCCAAACTGTAGAGAAAAAAATAATGTTATAACATCAAAAAACTGAAAATGAAAAGACATATGCATCAAACACTTGAATCAGTATTATCAAAGCATCAACTAACTAGTTAATCAATACTCATATACTCATGACACAGTCGCTTAAAATGGCTAATCATTAGCTAGATCAACTAGTAAACTAATGACTAGTCAAAGACAGTTATTTTAAAGCTTCATTTGTTTGCTTGTTTGTCTAATTATTTGAAACATATAAAATATGCTTGCATTTTATTATATTCAAGTTATGTTGCCTTAAATATTTATGATGGAACATAATTGGATGGGGGTATATCATATAGAAAAAAGGCATAAGATAAAAGATGATGGTGGGAGAGTTCTTTAAAATTTTATTCCAATAAGTGGTGCGTTGGTACAGATTTGCCATAAACAAAGGGCAAACTGAATTTTCAAGGTTGCACTCTTTCCTTGGAAAATATAGGCTGTTATTCCTTATCCTAGCCTATCTAGCCTAACATTTTCTTTGTTTGCAAACCAAAGTTTTTTTTGAAAAGTTAAATTAAATGTTCCATATCATTCTTTTCTTGCATAATCATAGCCCCATTGACTTATTTATGAGATCACGTTGATATCTTAAATTAGAACATATTTTCTTTTTATCAACTAGTCAAGACATTGACCAGAGAGGCCAAAATAGTCATCACTTCACTGTATTGAATATTGATAAACACTGAATTGTATCATGTTTGTCTGTATCCATATCTGAACATCTTAACCAAGAAATTGAAATCAATAAGTATTTTTAAATACACAGTTAGTTTTCTACAGACCAAATCCAATGTTTGCTCAATTGATGACACTTGTCTATGTGCATGTCTATCTGGCATTTGTCATTGCTCTCTCTCAACTATTTGGGTCAATGTTTCTTTTTATCAAGTCAACAGTAAACGCCTCTTGATGGGTTTAGGGTTAAAACAAAATGTCTTTAGCTCTAGCTGACAGGTTCAAAATCCAACCAACCAGGTTAGAAACTTTGATAGAACCAAGCTACACTGAACATTGAAATTTAAGCAGTTTCGGAACAAGAGAAGGTAGTAGGATAGTTAAAGGAACCAGAACCTATAATGTGGCACTTTAGGAATGAGATGAGGAAATTCAAATGGTTTACCAGAGACATGAAACTGAGGATAATTTGGGTGAGGAAGTTGGCTGGCTTATGGGATGGAGGATTCTCTAGCTAAGCAAGGGGTAAACAGAAATCAATTGTACTGGACTCAGTTATGATTTGTTTATTTCCTTTATGTTATAGTGGGAGATTACATCTTGTGCCTCTCCAAGGAATTTTTTGTACTGTTTCATTTAATGCTTTAATAATCTCACTTATAAAAAAATATGTTTCATATCTCTTACCATAACTTCTAGTTCCTTCTCTATTTTGATGAAACTTGTAATATAGATAGGTTTGACATCGAAAAAGCAAATTAGTTTCCGTAAGTAACAGAAAAATAAGATTTGTAGTTTTATAGTAAACCATCTGAGCCATTTAATTGTTGCCAAAGCTACTCTTTCCTATTGCTGGAATGATAGAATTACTCATTCTTTCCATAAAGTTTATCCAGAATGCATAATTCTTCAAAAACTAACATTAATGTGGTGTTTACTGTTTAAGGTGTCACCAAGATTTACCATTGACTTTGAAGACAACTCAATAATTGACACTGATAATGTAATCAGTATGATTTACAATTCAAATCATAAAATCTGAATAGATTCAAACCCCTACAGATTCAGATAGTTCCCCTCAATTCCATTTTGGCCAGAATCATGATTGAATCCCATTGAATCACAAAAGGTTGCATGATGAATCAAATGCTATGGGATTTTAACAGAGTTTAGAAAATACAGATAAATAGGCTCCTTGACATAATTACATCAAAATACATTTATTTAGATTCAAGAGTGAAAAGTAATTAGAAACTTTCTATTAGGATTTTCTGTCATCTCAAATGCGTAACAAAGAAATCCTCACATCAGCTTCATTATTTTTTTGATCAGTACATCTTCATTATTTGATGAATTTCAATTCCATTTCTTATTTCTGTTCTAAAGAGCAGGGTGGTTTAGGAATTGGTAGGATTCGAGAACAAAACATGGCTTTGTCAGGGCTTGAAGTTGTTGGTTAGGCAGGAACTAAGGAATGTGGAAGTTGAAGGTAACTGTCAAATGGCTATAGGTTGGATGACAAAGCAAGACCAAACTCCTTCGAAGTTCAGAGTTCAGACCTTTAGTCAGAATGGCTCAAGCTCTATGTGCTGACTTGAACGCCTCATTCAAGTGGGTGCCTAGGAATGCCAATATATTGGTTGATTCTCTGGCTAAGGCTGAGGTTGGGAAATCTTATTTAAATTGGGGATGCCCAGGACTGGCTACTAGTAATTTGTAATTGGTGCTGTTTCTGCTTTGTTGTATTTCTTTTTCTCTGTTGTCAGATGTGGATGGCCTCTTGGGAGGCCCAGCTTTGCATTCTTCTTTGGCTGTACCTTTTGTGTGTAGCTTGATTTTAATGAATATTCTCCCTGTGTTGCTTATCAAAAAAAGAAAATAACTTATGAATATTGTTTTTTTATTTGTTTTTTTTCAACAAGTATGTAAAGCTTGGGTTGGTTTTGAGTATTGGGACAATGTGGAGAACCCAGTTTTTTTTTTTTTTTTGTAGTCAAGAATTATCTTTTAAAATTAAGTTGGTTTTGGGGGCTAGGAAATATGGTCAACTCACAACTAGTCTTCTTTTTTGGAGAGTCATGTGTTATAATCTATGAACTATGATTTACATTTTGATACGAATGACGATTATTTGAGTTGAAAATTACATTATGTTAACATTTCCTTGACAAAGTATGGCATGAACAGTAGTTAGTGAAACTTGTTGTATAATTTATTATACCATCTATTGATTTCTTTTATGATTTTCATAATTTTTTGAGTATTTCCTTATAAGCTTCAGATTGATTCTTATGGTTTATGATTTGAATCCTGATTCAACTTGAATCCCATTTTTTTAGGATTTTCCTATTTGACAATTGACAATATTGATTGATTCAATCAAGTTATTAATCAGTTTATGAATTAAAGTAGTAACTAATTTAATTATTTGTTACTACCATAGCAACCTAACCAAGGACTCCAATCTTCCTCTACCCCTTCTATCCTTCTCCCTAGTTCCTCTACCTCCAATATCCCTCCCCCTCAAACTCTGGACTTTTCTTCTTGGAGGATTCACCAATCACCACTGCAGATCGTGGTCCCTGTGCTCAGTTTCTCCCCTGGGTGGGAGACTAGCCTTGAGTCTGTGCATTTGGTTTGATATGTTTGCTATGGCTGTTCAGTTCTCTTTTGGGCCCATCCCCATTTTTAGGGTGGTGTGAGTTATCTCTGTTGTGGAATTGGGTTCTTTTTCTGCAATTTGGGTTTCTGTTTTGGGACTAGGCCCATTACCATTTTAGGGATTGGTTCTAGGCCCTTTTGGGTGGACAGGTTTGTGCTTTTAATTGACTGAGGCAGTGCTGTCTCTGTCTCTTGATGTATATGCCTTGTATACTGTTTCCTACTAATAAATTATACATTACCTTTCCAAAAATAGAAGTATTTTGTTACTACCAATAGGAATCAATTGGTAAGAAGAAACGGAATGGATGTTTCAAGGCAGTATATGAAAAAGGATAACTTACCAAAAAGGGATTTGATGGATGGCCGCTTTGTTTTGGTGGTCTTCTTCTTTAGTTCAGCTGCAAACAGGAATTCAAAGGAAAACCAGTCAAGGGTCATTGACATACTGGAAATTGTGCATCAGATAGCAAGGAATAAAAATTAAGTAAATGGAATGTTTTTCAGAAGATTACTAACTTTTAAAATAAATACAAAAAATAATTAAAATGATATTATTATTTTTAGAAACCTAAATTGAAGGGAAGATCTGATCTTAGCCGTAAGAAAGAAGCAATATTTCTCAGGGTTGGACATATTCCATGGAGACAAACTTCATGTCTTGATGGTAATGCAATGGGTACCACTTTCTTTGGACTTACATCCACCACCTATTCTCTTTGGTGGATTGTCCTACACGATTGTATTGGTATTTTTGTTAAATTATTCAGGAAAACATTAAGGGGGTCTTTTGGGACCATGTGAAAGATAAATGTTTTCTGTATCCTGGAGGGAGTTAACCAACGCTAACCACTGATTGGGGTGTAAGACTGCTGTTCGTACTCCTCATAACAGCACTAATAAAATATTGTCAGTTAACAACCAAAAGAAAAAAATTAAAGTGTAGTAAAATACGAAAATTTACATTTCCCTATGTTTCACAATGAACATATCAAACATGAATATGAAAATGATAAATGACATGAGAGAGAGAGAGACCAATCCCAGGCAATTCATGATCATTCACAATTTCAAAGTTCTTGTATGTGTAACCCACAAAGTTGATGTCCTTGGATGAGAGCATCTGTAGCCAAGGAAAAGGCACCAATTGCAGCACTTGGTCAGTAAATTCAGAACTTTAATAACAACATATGAGCAGATGATTCAGTAATCTAGAATTACATGCTTCATCATACAACATAATGCATAGGCCCATTATCAAGTATTGGATGCAGCATTTTGGGAGGGGTGGACTGGATATGAACCTAAACCTTGGGCAATTTTTGCACAAAGTGACCACTTGAACCGGTAAATTCAAAACAAAATTGTTAAATCATCAATATCATCATTTGGAAGCAAATGCCCACTCAGCAGAGTTCATATGCTAGTGATCTTGCTTCATGGGAATGGTGCATTGTTAATGGTCATTAAATTATAAACATGTTAGTGTTATCCACCAAGATAGGAGCAGCATTCCTATGGATGAAGATGTAAAACTGTCCTTCAAATCTGATAATTAAACCTGATTACAGCAGTAAAAAGGAGAAAAAGAGGTGATTACAACAGAAGGAAGAAGATGGAGAAGAAGAAGAGAAAGGAGAAGAGAGTTCAATAGTTTCCTCCTCTCTCTCTCTTAATCTTTTATTAAACTCACTTAACTATGACTAATTACATCTCTGCCCTTAAGTGGGTGGCCAGCACTTAAATAACTCAAAAGAAACACAAAACAATAAAGGCCCATAATTAAAAAAGTCCATTAACACATAAAATGTAAACATAATGCCACTTAAAACATAAACAAGTACTAGGGCCCATTCGGCCCAGGAGAAAAAAAAAAAGAAGAAAATAAAAACAAATTAAGAATATCACCATCATCTTCTAAGCCCTCTCCCAACTATATGGGGTTGGCTACATAATCCTGTTTCACAATTCCATTCTGTTCACTACCATATCCATCATTAAATTATCTGTGCTTAAATCATTTCCTATTACTTCCACCCAAGTCCTTTTTGGTCTGCCCCTAGCTCTTCTAGCCCCTTCAACTTTAACAGATCACTTTTTCTAATAGGTGCTGTAGATGTCTTCTATGCACATGAGCAAACCATCTCAATCTACTTTCTCTCATTTTATCACCTATTGCAGCTACTCCTAGGTTCCTTTGTATGACTTCATTTCTAACTTCCTTTCTAGTTTTACCACTCATCCATCTAAGCATTTGCATTTCCGCCACACTCATTTTTTGACATGTTTCTTAGCTCCTTACAACATAGCTGGATTTACAACTGTTCGAATTTTCCGTTTAGCCAAAGTGGTATTCGCCTATCACACAAGACTCTGGATGCACCCCTCCATTCTGCCCATCCTACTTAATTCTATGAGCAACAGCCTCCTCGGTTTCTCCTTTGTTATGAATTATAACCAAGGTAATGGAAAAGAAAGGCAGAAACCTAGAAAGAAAAGAAGGAGAAGAGAGCTGAGAATGAGGAAAGAGAAGAAAAAAAAGGGCCGAGAGAAGAGAACACAGTCGAACTGATTAGAGAATAGCCTCTAACCCTCTAAACCAGTAGGCCCACTACTTATATTAATGTAAATAAAAGGTGTTTACAAAAATACCCCTGTTTATGATAAATTTTGGACAGGAGTATCCTTAATAAAAGAAAGGAAAGACAAAGCTACTCTATTGCCCCAAATACAAGGAATCTATTCTCCTCAACACTCCCCCTCAAGCTGGTGTGTATATGTCATACAGGCCCAACTTGCTAGTAATGAAATCAATGTGAAGTCAGTGTAAAATTTTAGTCCACAAATCAACCAGCTGGTTTCCAGTTTTCACAAAAGGGGTGTTGATATCACTATTTTGAACCTTCTCTTTAACAAAATGGCAATCTACTTCTATATGTTTTGTCCTCACGGAAAATAGTGTTTGAGGCAATATGAATTGCTGCTGATTATCACAATGAAAATGCATGGGTAGTTTAATGGGTATCCCAATTCATGAAGAAGGCTTTTAAGCCACACCAACTCCCCATATGCTTGACTCATAGCCCTATACTCAGCTTCAGCACTTGACTTTGCAACAATATCTCGTTTCTTGCTTTTCCAGGAGATTAAATTTCCACCTAGGAATGTACAACACCATGTTGTTGATCTCCTATCAATAGGTGATCCAGCCCAGTCTGCATCTATGAAGCTTGATACAGTCAAGCGACCATTATCTTTGTAAACAATTCCTATACCAGATGAACCCTTGAGATATCTCATGATTCTAAACACTACTTCAAGGTGAGGAATCCATGGAGAGTTTACCACCTCAACAGCAAAACCAATATCAAGACGAGTAATAGTCAACAAATTCAGCTTCCCAACCAGTCTCCCATATTGTCCAAGATCTTCAACTAGCTCCTACTCTGATGCAAGTATTTGGATCCATTGGTGTAGCTACCAATTTACACCCCAACATACTTGTCCCCTCAAGTAAATCCAATGTATACTTGCAATGTGATAATGAAATTTCAGTGGCAGATCTCATGAATTCTATTCAAGAAAATAACACAGATTACCTAGGTCTTTAGTATGAAATTTCTCTTGTAAAAACAGTTTCAGCTTACCAAGGCCTTGTGAATCACTTCCTTAATCGCAATATCATCTACATAGACAACAAGAATAGAAATACCAACGTCAAAGGTCTTGCAAAACACAGAATAGTTAGATTGATACCGAAGGAGACCAAATTCAACAATTGCCTCACTAAATTTCCCAAACCAAGCACAAGGCGATTGTTTAAGGCCATATAAGGCTTTCTTCAATCTACACACCATTTCCAAATACTCCCCCTAAGCAACAAACCCGGGTGGTTGTTCCATGTAAACTTCTTCCACCAAATCACCATGTAGAAAAGCATTTTTAACACCAAGCTAAAATAGAGGCCAATGGTTAATAGCAGCTAAAGAAATGACAAATGCACTGAAGTAATCTTAGCAATTGAAGAAAAGGTTTCATCAAAATCAACACCATATGTTTTGAGTAAATCCCTTTGCAACCAGTCGAGCCTTAAGCTTTTCAACCGTACCATCAGGTTGGAATTTCACTAATACACCCAACGACAACAAACAAGCTTCTTACCAAAAGGAAGGGAACTAAGTCCCAAGTACCACTTTGATGCAGTGCTAACATTTCTTCTTCCATAGTTGTCCTCCACCCAGGATCATATAAGGTTTCTTACAAGGACTTAGGTAGAGAAACAGTAGAAAGAGAGGCAACAAATGCATGGGCTAAGGGAGACAAGAACTTCTAACAAATAAAATGACTAATAGGGTGTGAAATACATGAACATTTACCCTTCCGGAGAGCAATGGGAACATCTAAATCCAAAGGTGGCTTAGTAATGGGAGGACTCTCTATAGTAACGAATGTGGTAGGACCACCAAGACCTATAGATGGCAAGGCATGAAGTGTAGGATCCTAAGCCAGCGACCTCTTCTTGTAAACTTATTGAATAGGTGGCTTGGGATGTGCAGACTCAGAAACCTGTGGAGAAGAATTACAAAGAGGAACAGAAAGAGGAATATCATACATAGAAGATTGAGAACGATCATTAGAAGGAAAATATGGAGTTGATTCATGAAAAGTGACATCTACACTAATACAGTGACGACAAAGAGATGGACTATAGCATTTATACCCTTTTTGAGTTTTGGAATATCCCAAGAAAACACACTTAACTACATGGGGTTCAAGCTTATTTCACGAGAAAGGGGATATCCAACTTGGAAAAGCTTTTCTCTTAAGTCTACCTTGCATGTTCCCAATTTTACTGCCAACTTGCTTTCGGTTTCTAGAATAAAAAAAAAAAAACTTTGCATTGTATTGAAACCTTCTTTCCCACTCATTGTATTTTCGAGGACCGGTTGACAAAGCAAATGATTGGGAGTGGTCGTGAGTCTAGAGGTCTCTACTATCTCCATGAAGACATCAGTTCAGTTCTTAATGCATTGTCTAATGTCTACCAATATCAGTGAATGCAAGGAGTCTAGTACTTTGGTCTATCTCTAGCATGCCAGATTAGGTCATTTGTCTTTTTCATTGTTAAGAGTCTTGTTTCCAAAGTTGTTTGAAAAAGTGTCCTTTTAAAGTCTTTTCTGTAATGTGTGCCAAATGTATAAACATTGTAAAACAAGCTATCCAAGTTCCAGTAATAAAGTCAATGCTCTGATTTAATTCATTCGGATATTTGAGGTCCCTTAACCATTATTTCCATGGATGGATATCATTATTTCATTTTGATCATTTTACAAGATGCACTTGGATTTACTTGATGAAAGAACGAGAAGTAGTAAGTAGCTAGAATCACTATGGTTTTCTGTAAAATGATTGAGACATAGTTTGGTTATGTATGTTTCATTCATGTTAATGATCCTAAAAGGACAAAGCCAAATCCCAAAACAATCTGTGGGGTGTTCTTGGGTTATTCTCCTACACAAAAAGGATATAAATGTCTTGATCCAACTACTAGAAGGAAGTTCATCACCCAAAATGTTACCTTTTGTGAGTCATTGTCTTTCTTTGAGCCTCCCTAGAATTCTCTTCAGGGAGAGACTAGTGGAGTGGAAGAGACTTCCTCATAGACTAACCCTTTTGTCTCAACTCCTACTTCCTCTCTTCCAACTCTTCCCTCTGATTCTCTCTCCCCAAACTCTCCTCATGTTGAATCTACTTGTCCAACTAAGACTACGAATGATGAAGATCCTTGTGGTGCTACTCCTTGCATCGAGGCAATTGCTCCTAACCTTGATGATGAAAGGCAACTAAGTGTTTATCGAAAGAAAAGAAGGAAAGAGCCACTAGTTAATGACTACAACCAATCGGAAACTTCATATTCCAACCAATGTATTGCGCTTCCTATTGCCTCCTCAAGTCCTGATTTAGATCTCGTTGCCTTATGAAAGCCTATTTGTTCATGCACTCTTCATCCTATAAATAAATTTGCTTCATACTCTCATTTGTCTCTTGTCCATCACACTTTTGTCTCTGAGTTGTCCACTGTTTCTACCCCTTCCAAGTTCCAAGTACTCAAGAGGCTATTGTTGATCCCAAATGGGGGGGAAGCTATGGATGAGGAAACGAAAGCCTTGTTTAAGGAAAATACTTGGAAGCTAGTGGATTTACAGGTCAAGAAGAACACTACGGAGTACAAGTGGATGTATACAATCAAACACAAGGCTGATGGTTCTATCAAGAGGTATAAAGCCAGATTAGTTGTAAAGCGATTCACCCAAAAAAAGGTATTGATTATAAGGAGACCTTTGCCCCGATTGCCAAATTGAATACTATGTGTTACTCTCTCTTGCAACAAATTTTTCCTGGGAACTACACCAGTTGGATGCCAAGAATGCTTTCTTAAATGGAGATCTACAAGATGTCTACATGGATCCTCCTCCAAGGTATGACATGAGAGGAAAGGTGTGCAAGCTAAGGAGGACCTTATATGGCCTCAAACAATCTCAAGGGCTTGGTTCGAAAGATTATGCAAGGAAATGAATGTTGTTGGGTACAAGCAAAGCAATGCTGATCACACTTTGTTCTATAAAAGAAATGAAGGAAAACTAACAAGGTTGATTGTTTATGTTGATCATATGGTTGTTGCTGAAGATGGTTTAGATGAGATTCAAAAGTTGAAAGGCTTTTCAACCTTGGTGATTGAAATCAAGGATTTGAGACCACTAAAATACTTCTTAGGAGTAGAGGTGGATAGGTCTAGTGAGGGAATCTACATCTGCCAAAGTAAGTATATGGTGGACCTTCTGAAGGAGATAGGAAAGCTGGGAACCAAACCAGCAAATACTCCTACAGGGAACTGTATCCTGACAAGGAAAGATATCAAATATTAGTTGGTAAACCACTTTATTTATCCCTTACTAGACCTAACCAGTGTTTTAAAAATGCAAGGCGCAAAAAAACAAGCACAAGGGGCAATTTGCACCTGAGGCACAAGGTGCAAGGCGAGGAGCGCGCCTTTTCGAAGCAAGGCACAAAAATACAAAAAATGGTAAACATAACATTAATAAAAATATAGACTTAAATTTTAAAATAAATATTTTTAAAAACCTATTATCTAAAATTAAAATACATAAACATAACATGTAAAACGTATTCAAATGAAAATTTAAAAATAAAATCAAACATATAAAACATTTCCAAGCATGTAAAATCCACAATTTCTTTTTTTTTCTCAATTGCATTACTTCAAATAGCTAATGTGATGTAAAACATCTTGCATTCCTAATTCTCCAAGAACCCCCTATTTGCTAATGTTGTTCATTCATTCATCCTAGTAAAATATCTTTTTAAAAGTCAATTAAAATTATAATTTTTTTTTTGTCTAAGGATTAAGAATTTAAGACCCGAACATGGACTTGTTTGCCTTTGAAGTTTGAACAGCTTGGTTGGGGGCCTGGGGGCGGAGCCCCAACCCAACTGTTAGGTTCAAAAAGAACAAAAGGTGCAAAAAATAAAAAAGGCACACACTTGGGCTGAAGCGCAAAGCACACCAAGCACACTAGGTACGCTTTTTAAATCACTAGACCTAACAGTGCATATGCAATCCATGTGGTCAGACAATTTATGCATGCTCCATGAGCTACACATAAAGGCAGAAAGGATCTTTGAAATACTTGAAGACATGTCCGAAGAAGGGATTACTGTTTAAGAAATATGACAAAATAGAGGTGGAAGCTTATATTGATGCTGATTGGGCAGGTTCTCTTGGAAATAGAAAGTCTACATCTGGATATTGTACCTTCATATGTGGTAATCTTGTTACTTGGAGTAGCAAGAAACAAACAGTTGTAGCAAGATCAAGTGTCAAGGCTAAACATAGGGCTATGACTCATGGAGTTGTTGAATTTCTTTGGCTTTGGATTCTTCTAAAGGAGTTGGGGATAGATGTGACTGGGCCTCTTAAGTTGTATTGTGATAATCAAGCTACAATCAACATTATTAACAACCTAGTCCAACATGATAGGACAAAACATATTGAGATTGATAGACACTTTGTGCAAGAAAGAATTGTTCCTGGGCACCTCTTTATTCCTTATTTTCCGTCTACAAGACAACTGGCTGATGTTTTTACCAAAGGGCTCACCACCAAGGTAAGATTTATGGAGTTGTTATCCCAGTTGAGCATGAAAAATATCTATGCTCAGCTTGAGGAGTATTGTGAGACCTAGCTTGTGAGGTTGAGCCTCTATTTGTTTATGTTATGTGGTTATGTTTAATGTTTCTTTCTTAGGCTTAATGGGCCTGGGCCTCTACTGTACTAATATCTTTTTCCTTCTTTTCCTGTCTTGCCTACTAAATCAGGGGCGGATTTTCCATTGTAATCCCTCCTTAAACCCTACTAGAAATAATAAGATTAGGGCTTGTTAGAACTGCTGCCACCCCATTTCTCTCCAACCTTCTTCTCTAATCCAAACACTAAGAAGAAGAACTGAGACCTAGGACCTGGCATTCCCCAAAACACCCTTGTCTAGTTACACCAGATCTTTGCAAAGCTATCAGCTAGGGTATTCAGAATACTTCCCTAGGATTTGGCTTCCCTTACCAAAGCTCTAAACTTCCAAGGAGATTCATCTTCAAAGATAAGCCAACTAATAACCACTTAGCTATCTCCTTCAATGTTCACATTACACCATCTCAGTTGCACCAGAGGCTTCAGACCTTGAATATGTGACAGCATCTCTGTTCTTAGAGAATTTACAACACTCATGAATAACTTAACATTATGGTTCCTCATTCATCCCTTACCACCTCTCCCATACCAGACTCACCAGGGTTGCCTAAACAACAAGCATCAAAACTGACTTTGAACCTGCCAGCCTCAGGGGATGCCAATTAATCAACCTTGGTGACCTTTTAAGTGGCTCACTAGCAATGATGTGCCAACCTCTTAGAAGACCATCCATCCTCACACCATAAAACTCTTCACATACTGGCACCCAATGTGCAACTCTTACTTAAATGAACTCAATTAGATTTTCCATATCAAGTTCCTTTTTCTCAAATGGTTTTGATCAGGTGGATGACCATGTTAGACGAAGAATTTTGACCCCATGTATCTGCTGATGGAATAACCAGCTCTTGTGCAAACAGAACCTTTGTCAAGGAAATTCCATGTTGAATCTGGAATACTCCTATGAATCCTTTTAATGGCTCAATTAAACAAATCCATTTAACTTTCCAGATCAGCAAGAGAAATATACATGTACAAACAGAGTAAGATGGACAAAAGTTTTATTTTCAAGTAGTTCAGAAAAAGAAGGGATGGCACATAATGAGCAATGGAAGTTGATCAAATATGAAGTTAAATGAAAACAACTATCAATTACATGAGTATCTACGAGAATATATATAGATATCAATGCTCAGAATGCACATAAATGGAACCTCCGCACTTGCTATCAATACCCTTACCTTTCTCCAGGGGCCTGACTTTGATGAAGTCTGTGCCTGGTTGTCAGACTGGAGAAACACAAGAATAAGACACTATTAGTAACATATAGTACTCTAAACATTTTGCTATATGGGATGAGTCCAACACAATGAAGATATATTTGTACCTCTTCGAACTTCTCAAAGTTCTGTGTGTCAAGTTCGTCCTTTACCTCTGGAATAAATGCAGCTTCTATCTGATATAGTTTATCCCATTCAACACCTCTAAACCATGGATGGGCCTGAAATTGGCAGATAATTCAACCACATAATTTCCTCAATTTTAAATTCCACTCTGGCACAAACCCAAGAATTCTAGCATTGAACAAACCACAACACCTTTATTTCATCTGCGCCTTTCGTTCCAAGCCTCTGCTCAACATTGCACAAGAGTTTACTAATAAGATCTTTTGCTTCTACAGAAAGCTTTGCCTCTTCAGGAAACTTCAAATGAGTTCTCCAATTTACTATCTGTTTATGGCGACAATGACGACAATGAGACAGTGACAGTAAGGGACTGATGAAAAGTATCCAAAAAATGTCGTATCTCCATGCCATAATACAACCAATGACAGTAATATTTGATCTGACTAAAACTTCGACAAATATTTGAAAGAAAAAACACAGAATTTAAAGATAGATGATCCACTATTTAGATGATGAAACTGCAGAGCCTCAATTCACACACCTCAACAAGCCAGTATTCTTGTACTGATAACCAGAAAATTATTACTGCAAAGAAAAGCAGGAAAAAGGAAAGAATACAATCATCTGGGGATCCTAATGGAGATCCCCAAACCAAGAACCTCTATTGATAGGGCTGTCAACAGAGTCTAGAAATTCAAAATCGAATATGAGACCCAAACCAATTACTTTGTATTCCAATGGTCCATTCTAAATGGATTGAAATTGAGCTTTACAGATTAGATCCATTTAATAATAGGATTGAATAGGTATTTAACCATATTTAATCCGATTAAAATCTAAGTCCACTTGAATTTTATATGTATACTATATATACTGGTTTTGGTGCATATATACTTCCATTTTCATATTATATATATGTTCTTTCTACAATCCAAACCCTAAAATGAATCATAGTGCATACGGCCTTGTGCTAGAGACTGTTCAGAACACAGAAGGGAGAATCAATGGTTGACATTGCAAGATTTCAAGCTCTATCGCTCCAATCATTAAATGAACAAAAGTCGATTGATCTGATAATAGTGATTTTTTCAAATGTTCACTGTTCAAAAAACTCTCCAAGAGGCCAAGATCCAACCATTTAGCTACATGGAGGAAAAGACTTGACATACGAAAAACTTCAAAACAAGGTAAGTCTATCTATACACATATCTTATACTGATACTCTTGATATGATCATTTCTGTATCTAATGAGTTGTGGATTTAGAGAATTTCATATACAGCTATTGTTCAGGTGGTCACCTTTTGTTTTTAGATTTTTCTTTTTTTTTTTTTGAAAAAGGATTTAAGTTGGATTTCACTTGAGAATTCAAGCTTGAAAGCAGACTGATTTCCAAAAAAAGGAAATCAGGGCTTCTCTTAGGGGATAACACCAACTTTATCCGAATGTCCTAGCCAAGGATCAAAATTCTGCAACATATTGGCCCATATTGGCTGATACCTATCATATCAGCCAGTCACCAATACATTGCTTCGAAGGTTTAAAAAAAACTTTATTCCAAATGTTTTTTTTTTGTTTTGACAAGTAAAACTTTATTCCAATTGTTAATAAATGTTATTCCCACCTCTTCCCGAATTTAAAAAAAAAAAAACTAAAAAAATAAAATGTGTTAGGTTCAAAACATTGACACACCCCTTCTGCCATATGGGGGGGGGGGGTATATCAATATTTTAAACCTTGTTTGTAGCAAGAAAAATTTTGTAGGTTTCAGATGCTTTTGGAAAGATTTAATTGCTTCTGTTTAGGTTACACAGCATTTTGAATTGGAATTTTGATATTCAGCATATTCTATTCAACTACAAGGGGAAGAAAACTTAGAAAACTTAAAATCCCCAAGAATACCTAACCTACTGAGATCGGATCCAAAATCCAAGGAATCAACCAGATCCAAATTCAATTTGAAACCCCTAAGTGCAATCAATTTTTTAATCAAATTGGACAGGTCATTTCCTAATTGAATTGCACTTTGATGGAGGTAGATCCAATTTGATTGCATCCTGTCTATGGAAGCAACAACCACCAATAAAGTAAAATAGAAGCACAGCATCACACTTCATTCCTCCCTAACCCCAGGATGCAAGTCAGGACATCTGCTAAGATGTTGACTAATCATAGCACAACAAAAGCAAAATTTTCACCTTAGTCATCTCCCTCTTGCATGTATCCAATAAGGGGTCTGTGCATCTCCCTCCGCCACTACTACACTAAACAATGAGATTATGGGAAGTTAAGGACCTAGACATGATTTATACCAAGTGCTGGTGAAGGATCATCTTGTAATGAGCTCACCAAAACTTTATCTGGAATAGCATGAACTCATTTTAGAAACTTACAAATGCAAAACATGTTCAAGGTATAACTACAGAATCTTATATTTGTGTTATTCCTATAGAAAAAAGTATACTAGGAGGCACATCTTTGGAAAGATGTAGAGAGATTTAACAGAGTTTTCAACCAGATAAATAAACTTTATGTGCTGACACAATGTTCAGGGGTAAACACAATAAAAATGTACAATGTCCTGTAAACTTAGTCTTACAAATGCAAAGAAATCAAATAAAAATAATGTGGTAATTTAGTAGAATTATCAATCTTACTTTCCTGCATGTTGACATAGGCTCATCCGAATAAAAAGGAGGATACCCCACAAGCATTTCATACATGATGGCTCCAAGTGACCACCTGTGGAAAAGTTTAAACAAAAAAAATCACATTATACAAAACTATAAAAGTATGTGCAATATGAAAAACTTGCAAGCATGTACATACCAATCACATTCCATTCCATAGCCTTTCTTCAGCAAAACTTCTGGAGCAATATAGTCAGGTGTGCCAACAGTAGAATAAGCCTGCAGCATTTCAACATCAACAGTTCACACAATGTACACAGCCACATACTAAACAGCAAGAAACAGAATCCTCAAACTCAACACCACCACACAATCACATTGTTCCACTTCTCCTGTTGGACCTGTTCCGCCCTTTTTTCCTGTTCATCCACCTCACCTTGGGGGAGATCATCTTAGATGTAGTCTTTTAAAATCTTGATATTACTTCTCTAGCGAAACTCCAATAAACAGTCACATGAAAATCTCCAAAGGCTTCCATGCCATATTAAGCATGAAAATTCCATGCACAATGAACATATGGGAAGCATTAAAGAATATAAAAATATAAACAAGACAAATCCAGTTTTCATTTGATTGTATGGACAGCCCAGTGCATGAAGCTCCCGCCGTTGCTGGGTCTGGGAGGGACAGATGTACACAGTTCTCATATGATTGCAAGAAACATAATTATGATACCACATTGTTTTTTTATATAAATAAGGAAACTGTACACCCTGAACAATAACACAAACATAAGGAACAAGATACTGAGGAAATACCAGCATCCTTCTATTTCTTTGCCAATGTTGTAGTTGTTCCTGTTGTGTGCGCTTCGGTACACCAGGCCGTTCATCACTCAATGCTCCATTAAGATTGTGTCCAACAGAAAAATCCTTTTCATGGAGGGTACTGCAGTCTAATGGCTTGCAAAGTCCAAAATCTGACAGCTTCATATGACCATATCGGTCGAGCAACAAATTGTCAGGCTTGATATCTCTGTTAAACGTGTCAGAAAAGATTAAGTATTCTGATTTAGTAAAAAGACTATTTGGGATCTCAGAAACATGACGTTGACCAAAAAATAAAAATAAAAAACCAAACCTGTGGATGTAATTATGTTTATGAATAGATTCAATAGCTAAAACTGTTTCTCCTACATAAAATCTAGCCTCATCTTCAGTTAATGTATCTTTCCGCATAAGTAGAGTCATCATATCTCCACCAGGTAGATACTCCATAATGAGATACAGATAATCTTCATCTTGGAAAGAACAATAAAGTTTGACAATGCAATTACTATCAACCTCCGCAAGAAGATTCCTCTCAGCCTTAACATGCTCAACCTAAACAGGTTCAAAAGAAAATTGAAAATAAGCACAATAACAAAGTAACTAAAACAACTCCCTGCATGTCAGATAATCATATACCTGCCCTCTACGAAGCATCTCTGATTTTTTAAGTTTCTTCATTGCATATACATGGCCCGTTGACTTCTCCCTACAGACTCTGACCTGAATCACAATATTAAAAAATGTAAAAACAGTCAATTAAGTGGTTATTGACTATCAAAAATTTGTAAGAGTGATGAAATACTTGGATATTATACATGATAAGTTGAAACGAAGGAACTTGTAATTTACAACTTTAAAGTAATAAACAAATAATGAGTAGAAGAAGATGAGAGAACACGATCAAAGACGAAAGTTGAGAGAGATTTACAAGTGAAGAAGAGAACACTTGGACATGTGACAGTCCTCTTTTCTTTTATTGGTACACTATTTTGATAGTAAAATAAAATTCACTAACAAATCCACTTTTTAGTTAATCCATCTTCCAAACCATTAGCAGACCTCCTAACCCATCTTAACTGAATTTGCATGTCTTGACAGCATCTTGAACCACCTGAATTCATTTCTGAAGTGCCATTATACCCCTTCTCCTTTTTTCAGCCAGCTAATGACTATTTTTGAGTCCCCTTCCACTATCAATCTTGAAATCCATATTTCCTTGGCTTTTTTCACCCCACCAATAGCTGCCTAAATTCAGCTTTCACTGAATCACCCTGCTCAATAGGCCCTGAAAATAAGCCACAAATGTTCCCACTCCCATCACTAATCACTCCAATTCCACAGGGACCCGGATTACCAAAACTGTCAAAATTTCATCCAATCTTCACTTGGGGGAGACCAAACCTCCGATACCTTTTGATTTCTAGAAGAAGAAAGGGCAACCAAAATCTGCAGTTTCAAAAACAGTCCACACAATTAGCAACTCAGATAATAGTTTCAAAGTCTTCACCCAATTAGCAACTCTAACTGTAACAGTCTCCAAGATTACTTGTTTCTTTCCTTACCCTCAAAAGATTCTTAAGTTCCTTTCCTCCCAAACAGTCCACACAATTGCTGCTCTAGCACAATTCCACAAAATTCTGCCTCTTCATTTTGTGCTTCTCAAAAAGGATGAGCTAAAGAGTCTTTTTCAAACAGTAGAAGTTCAAGACTGCTATCAGCCTTGAACCCTAATAGATTTCAGGTTCGAAAAAAGAAGGAAAATGTAGAGAAGAGAAGAGAAAGAGAAGAGAGAACTGTAGAACACAAAGGGTTGAAAGGAGGGACAGAATGTGAATGTTCTGCCGCCACCACTCTTATTTAGTATTTATAGGTTATGCTCATTACATGGAAAGGATAGATCTGCCCTTAGTATTTACATAACAAATAGAACAAAATAAAACTGAAATAAATAACAACTGAAATAACCAACTGACCACCAGCTAACCCTAGGATGACTAGAACACATTCTACCCTACGAACACAGTGGGACCATAGCTGTGGGGCCCACATCAGTGTTCTCTACACAAACTAACAGGAGGGATCCACCTGCAACCAAAGAGAGTAGAACCATACTCAAATACAAGAAGAAAAAGGACAGGAAATTAAGAGATGGAAAGCACTCTCACCATTCAACTTACATAAAATGCACTAATTGGGAGACAAACACCAATTTGGCATTTTCTTTTGCAACAAATCAACCATGTTGATGCTCTCATGATAAGCTTCCTGCTTCCCAACAGAAAGCACTGACTTTTGGCGGGGATAGGGCCCGGCCACACCAAACTTCTTTTACAGGGAAGGATGGGATGGGGTAGATGCCACTAATGAAGAGAAAAAGGATTTACAAGTAAACTACCCAAAGGGACTGATTTTTAGGGATGAAAATGGGGTCATTTCTGCTATGTTCTCAGGCCCAATTGGAGTGGGTGACTCCCTTAGAGCTGAGATCTTTGCAGTTATGGAAGGAGTACAGAAAGCTAAGGAGTTGAACATCAGGAAACTCTTAATTGAAGGGGATTCAGAGGTGGTGATAGGGTGGCT